ATGAAAAGAAGGACTAGGGGAGACATGATAGCTGTCTTCCAATATCTCAGGGGCTGCCACAAAGAAGAGGGAGTCAAGCTATTCTCCAAAGCACCTGAGGGCAGGACAAGAAGCAACGGGTGGAAACTAATCAAGGAGAGAAGTAATTTAGAACTAAGGAGAAATTTCCTGACAGTTAGAACAATGAATCAGTGGAACAACTTTCCTCCAGAACTTGTGAATGCTCCAAGTTTTTAAGAAGATGTTGGATAACATTTTGTCTGAAGTGGTGTAGAGTTTCCTGCCTAAAAGCAGGGGGTTGGACTAGAAGACCTCCCAGGTCCCTTCCAACCCTGTTATTCTATTCTAAATTTTCAGCAGCTGACTTCTTCTGGTTTAGGTTCTTTCATGATACCTGCCAGCTCTCATCAAGGCTTAGTTAAGAATGGCACACAGACGGTGAGCTCATCTACAGTAGTTCTTCCTGCTCACCCCCAGCGTGAGTAGACACACAGAAGAGCAAACATAGTCTGCTTTGCCGCACCAAGTTCAACAAATCTTAAATTTTAAAGTTTTAAAGTTTTCAATAAGCTTGTCCCACCGGGGTCTCCTTTCCTACATGCACCCTGTTGCCAGAGCTGGATGGGTGGTAAATACTGCCCAGTATTTCTTGAAAGCACCGTGGAAAGATCATCCATTGAACATGTTCCACTAAATGGCACTAGCTGGTGCCATTGCTGGCTATTGGGGGCGAATCACTGGCCCCCACGGAGAGGGCTCACAACTTAGGCGTCCTCCTGGATGCACGGCTGTCTTTAGAAGAGCATATGACGGCCGTGGCCAGGGGGGCTTTTTATCAGGTTCGCCTGATACGCCAGTTGCGTCCCTTTCTGGATCAGGACTCCCTACGCACGGTCACTCAAGCACTCGTCACTTCCCGCCTGGACTACTGCAATGCTCTCTACATGGGGCTCCCCTTGGGGTGCACCCGGAGGCTGAAGTTGGTCCAGAATGTGGCCACACGGGGGATTATGGGAGCGACGGGGCGCTCACATATAACACCTCTCCTGCGCGAGCTGCACTGGCTTCCTGTGGTCTTCCGGGTGCGCTTCAAGGTGTTGGTGACCACCTTTAAAGCGCTCCAAGGCTTAGGGCCGGGGTATTGGCGAGACTGCCTTCTGCCAATAGCCTCCCACCGACCGGTTCGCTCGCACAGAGAGGGCCTCCTAAGAGTGCCGTCGGCCAGGCAGTGCCGGCTGGCGAATCCCAGGGGGAGAGCCTTCTCTGTGGCAGCACCTGCCCTCTGGAATGACCTGCCCCCTGAGATACGCACAATATCAGACCTCTGGACTTTTCGTCGGGCCCTGAAGACACACTTGTTCCATCTAGCTGGGCTGGCTTGATCCCATCCTCTCAGTTTTTTAATCGAATTCGGTTTTAATTGGGTTGTTTTAAATTCGGGCCAAAATTATTTAATTGTTTTTTAAAATGTTTTTAAATTTTATATGCTGTTTTATTCTGGCTGTACACCGCCCTGAGTCCCACAGGAGAAGGGCGGTATAGAAATATAATAAAATAAATAAATAAATAAATATCACTTACTGAACAACTGTTCACATTATTATTTGCCCAACATGCTAACCTATAAACGACCCTTTGCGAGCCACAATGGATAGGCCCTTGTACGAAAACCAAACAAGCCACAGCGATTTAGCCTAACAGACACAAAATATAACAAGAGGGTTGTATGGCATGCATCCAGTTTTAACACAACAGACGGGCCCAATTGGTGAGTGGGGTGGGAGAAGCTGCTGCCGAATTGACAAGAGCATTGTCTTCTTTCTTTCTTCTTCCTGCCGCTCGTTCTCTCAGCTGCACTCTATTCTATTAGACCAAATTAATTAATTAATTAATTAATTAATTAATTAAGCAAGCTTATATGCCGCCCTCTCTCTGAAAAGGACTCAGGGCGGCTCACAGCAATAAAATAGACAAATCAATATTAGATGTTAAAAACCATTAAAACTCCCCTTAAAAACCCCTTCAGTCCAAACCGGCCTGGTGAAATAACCATGTCTTAAGGTCACGGTGGAAAGAGCGGAGGTCAGGGGCCACCTGGAGCTCCAGGGGTAGTTGATTCCATAAGATAGGTGTGCCTAGAGAAGGCTCATTTCCTAGGAGTCGCCAGACGACACTGCCTGGCACTCCAAGGAGGCCCTCTCTGTGGGAACGCACCGGGCGATGGGGAGCTGTCGCTGGCCCCAGATGGTCCGTCAGGTACCCTGGGCCTAAGCCATGTAGGGCTTTATAGGTGATAACCAACACCTTGAATCTCACCCGGAGGGCAACTGGTAGCCAATGCAGGTCGCGCAGGAGGGGTGTAACATGAGTGTCGGGACACTCCCATCACGTGGCTGCATTCTGCACCAGCTGAAGCCTCCGAGTGGTCTTCACGGGCAGCCCCATGTAGAGCATTGCAGTAATCGATCTGGGAGGTCACGAGCGCATGAGTGACTGTACAGAGGTCAACACGGTCCAGGTAGGGGAAATTGCTACCTTCGTGCTCCTTCTTCAGCCTGGAGAGGGATGAAAGGAGAGGTTCCTCCTTGTGTTCATTTGTGAGGTCTGGCGTTGACCATCATGGGTAAGACTAGCCTCCATCTGTCCAAGGGGGCAGTCTCTTCTATGGTATACTTGCAATGCTTGAGACAGCTGAAAAGAGAAGGTAGGGAAAGCTTGAACGGCCTGCTGGGGGAGCTGTCCAAGTGCTGATAGCACTTTCCCATTTGCCTTGCCCTGGACTGAGAAATTTGCAATCATTGTGGAATATTAGACTCTAGTCTCTTCCAGAAATATTTTGAGATACTTTGGCTGCGTCTGTCTTAATTTTATACAGGTAAACCTTGAAGGTTTAAAGGTAAAGGTAAAAATTCCCCTTGCATATACATGTTAGCCATTCCCAGCTCTAGGAGGCGGTGCTCATCTCCGTTTCAAAGCCGAAGAGCCAGCGCTGTCCGAAGATGTCTCCGTGGTCATGTGGCCGGCATGACTAAATGCCAAATGCGCATGGAACACTGTTACCTTCCCACCAAAGGTGGTCCCTATTTTTCTACTTGCATTTCTTACGTGCTTTCAAACTGCTAGGTTGGCAGAAGCTGGGACAAGTAATGGGAGCTCACCCCATTACACGGCACTAGGGATTCGAACCGCTGAACTGCCGACCTTTCGATCAACAAGCTCAACGTCTTAGCATCTCTTAAATCCTTGATTTACAAGTTAATTTAGTGACCACTCGAAGTGACTGAAATAAGTGACTTATGGCCGGTTTTCATGCTTATGACTGTTGCAGCATCCCCATGGTCCCGTGATCAAAATCCACACATGTGGCAATTGACTCATATTTACGACCGTTGGGTCAAGCGATCCGCTTCTAACAAAGGGTCAATGGAGAAACCAGATTCACTTAACAATTGGGTTAACTTAACAATTGAAGTGATTCACTTAACAACTGTGGCAAGGAAGGTTGCAAAATACCATCTTTCCCCCAAAATAAGACCCTGTCTTATATTTGTTTGAAACCCAAAATAAGTGCTTGGCCTTATTTTCGGGGATGTCTTATTATTTTGGGATGCGTGGAGCAAGACGCAGCACATGGGTGAGCCGTGCATTAGCGCAGATAGCCCGCTCGCAAAGCACGTACCTGTTCAGCAGTTGGTGAGTAAAAGGTTCGCCACCACTGGCCTATGTCAATATTGTATCGTTCTAGTCTTCCTATGGAGTGAGTTTCTTGATCTGGTCTCTCTCGCATAAGGTGATCAAGTATTAAAAAACCAAAATCACAGAAATGTACGCCTCTCTATTCTATAAGTGTATAAAACCATGTGTGTGGAGGTGCAGTCCCATGTCACACCCATGGCCACGCCTACCCCACCTGGCCCTCTGAGATCAAACACAACCCTGATGCAGCCCTCAATGGAGTTTGACACCCCTGTCCTAGACGCGGAGGCTATTTGGCTTTGCTCCTGGAAGTGAAACCTGCAATCTTTGGGGAGGGACTTTTTCAAGACTGAAGCCGCACTTATTAAAGCCACCGCTTCAGGAGAGGCATGTCAAGCTGTTGTATGCTTTAATCCAGTCGATTAAGAGCTCACCCCCCCCAACCTTAAAGCATCAGGCTTTTTTAACATTACAGGCGGATTTTTAAAGAGACAGGCTGTTGGTATTGTAGCGACTATGGACTATTTTTAAACACCGCATCCATCCTTTTATTTCACTCATTGGAAATGCAAACAGTATTTAAATAGATGAATTATTTAATGGCTTAATCAATTTTACTTTTGCCAACAGAAGAGCTATAGAACAGTTATCTTTCCCATCAAACAATAGGAAAAAAAACGTGCTAACTTCCCACATATTCACCACTAGTAGCATTTAAAAAAAAACCACAAGGTCTATTTTGGCAAATTATACCAAAATTATACCCTCCCCCTCCCCCCGCAGATCTTCCTTCAATTGTACCTGATTCTCGGAGACCGCCTGGATAAATCTCGGCAGTTTTCTTGACAAGGTTTTTCAGAAGTGGTTTGCCATTTTCTCCTTCTTAGGGCTGAGTGTTTGTGACTGGCCCAAGGTCATCCAGCTGGATTTGCGCCTAAAGCAGGACAAGTCAGTCTCCCAGTTTGTAGCTTGATGCCTTCACTTACACCAACCTTGCTCTCAAAGAAAGCACCCAGTTTAACAGTACTAATAGTGCTTCAAGTGATACTTCTTCAACTCTAAGCCAAATGCTATTTCAAGATGTTGAAAGCACACATATTTTTAATTATTTACTTCTATGAAGAGTAGAGAGAAAAGACAGAGGACTGTTTTATTTATTTATTTTAAGAGAAAAAAAGGCAGGGAAGAAATAAAACTAAAATGGATATTTGTCCTCCCCGTCCCCCCAATTACACTAGAATAAGTTACTCTTTGAAGTTTATTATAGCAAATCTGGGGAAAGTAATACAGTAATTCTTTAAGCGTTAGAATTGCATCATTTATTACTTCATGTGACAAAGGTTTTTGATGGTGACGTAGAAGACTGATCATGCCAAGACATCAAATATTAGGCTAGATGTGCCATAGCTTCATTTCAATCAGGTTTTATGTCCTTATCACACTCATATAAAAATAAAATAGAAAAAGGGAATGATTGGATTGGATTGGATTGCACACTCATTATGCTTATACCAGATTGAAAGATTTTGAACAAAACATTGGGAAAGGACAAGAAGAATCTCAATCTAAATGGAAACAAACATGCAGAAAACAATTCCAATGCAGGTAGTACTCAACTTAAGACCGGTTGCTTAATGACCGTTCGAAGTTATGACAGACCCTCCAAAGTTACTTATCAGCTGGTTCTAAAGTTCCCATGGCCATTCCCACATAGTCATGTCACTTCCCTTGGGCACTCAGCAACTGTCTCACAATTATGGCCATTTTCAGCATTATGTGATTGTGACTTATGTTTTGCCAGAAAGTGGCCCATAGAGAAAGATTAATTATCATGGCATTCGCTGAATTGCAACACTTGCTTAAGCAGGACACTTTAACCACCAGAAAAGGTCACAAAATCGAGTTGATCACATAATGACCCACTTTACAACTGTCGCGACTTACCACCTTAATTGCCAGACTCAGTCATGGTTATAAAACGAGGGCTACTTGTGCGGCTGAGGCAGAAAACCTTTGTACTTGAAGTTATAATTTCCCGGATATGCTCAGCTTCTATTTGTGGCATCAAGAAGTCTTCTAGGGTTCCTACATCTTAAGCTGCATTTATCTCCAGGTCTAATGAACTTCACTCACCTAAAAATGTATTTGTTTTCTTCTGGCAGAAAAAGAAATCAACGAGGCTCTAGATTTATCCCTGTGACAATGTGCAAGAATATTTGAACTATTCCTATCAGATTCACATATAGTAGAGTCCCCAAAATTTTTTGCAGTTAAGTTGTGAAAATGTGATGAACTGTGGGGTCAGGAGAGAAAAACTGGAAGCTATTGGGTAATTCCTTTCAATATATTTAGAACAAAATGAATATTTAGCATTATATCCTCTCAAGGAAAACTTTTTTTTAATCCCACTAAAGGCCCAGATCCCTATTTATCCTGCACACTTCCACTTGCCTTTGTGATTTTCTAAAATCAAGGATCTCTGCCATACAAATGGACTATCCGGAAAGCTTATCAATGTTTCCAAATCTTTTCTTAAACCAGGTTTGTGGACTGAGGTATGCAGAACCATTAAGCCACACACATCCGAAGTGGAATGTAAGGATATCAAAACAGCTGCCAAATACTACAAATATTCCTCTGTACCATTATTGTAACTTCTGATCTTTAGGCCAGCAGGTAAAAAGTGACTTTAAAAGGAGATGAACATTAGGAATAGCAGCAGGACCACGTTTTGCAAGGCGATACTAAAGAAGAGGACATTTTTCACTGGAACTATCACCCTGCACTGGATTTTTCCAGTGAAATTCTCACCTGTGTTAACAATGAGTAGGGTGAGGGAGTACAAAAAACACATATGCATTCAGACTTGTAAGTTGTACACACACCAGGAAATGTAGGCAAGAAAAAATGATTTTGTGTGAATGGCAGTAAGAGATTATAACCAAGCGCTGGAGAAAGAGACCGATTCATCCAACCCTAAACATAACACAATGGCTAGAAAGGATTTCTCATTTCTTTAAGGTTTATATGATAAAAAGTTTTGTTTTAATCACATATACATTACAAGGAGTCCCCCCGAGGAAAGGTAGACAACACTAGAGAGATTATAAAAGTAGCTTTAAAAGATTTGGATTAAAAACAGCAACTAGGGACAGTAAAATGAACACGGAGAGCCAAACTCTGCATGAGAGTGCGGAAGAGAAAGAACAATTCCAATCTCCATTGTGCTTCTCCCAATTCACCCAAGACCTGCCAGACAGAATTTGGTACTGATCATCAGGCTGTACCACCCTGATGACCACTGTCCTCTAGCATGGACATGGTTGATATCACTACATTGCTTTAGGTTTAATGACTTTTGAATTCAACCCAAAAGCCAATTCACACAACGGCTGAGTTTACGGCAAAGCAGACTTTCAGCATATCATGGAATGTTCGCTCATTTTCACCAAGTGTGTACGGAGACACTGACAAAACACCTAGAAAAATCATACTGCTGGCTGTTGCCTGATATTCTGGAACATGTAAACGCTCTTGGTCTCTACTGATAAAACCAACAACTGCGTTCATAACCATTTCCTCCGGCAGTTAATTAAGGTATATCTATTGATCTCTCTCTCTCTCTCTTTTTTTTTTACAAACTGACCATTTAGAGAACTTTTGTTAAAAGAACACCTTCTTCAAACATTCCATATTTTTGTTCAGGTATGACCTATGATACATTTGAAATAATTACTCTTACATAAATATATTTTATGAAATAAGGCACTTATAGAAGTCAACTTATTCTACATAATAAAACATTGTTAGTTTTAAAAATCAATTAAAATGAATCATGTTAAAAGGTGCAATACGGAAAGAAAAAGGCACACTCTCCCTCCCCACTTCAAAACTCTGTTTAAAAAAAAGGACATATAAAGGAAATCAAGCAGAGGAGGCCCCAGAGTTTCTGTAGCATGAGCAGCCTGGTAAAAGGACACAGCACCCTTCTGCCCAACTGTGTGATCCAAGAGGCCTATTTTAAGCCTCTCTCTGCCCGATTGCCTGCGTGACAAAGCTTTGCGACTTCTTGAGATTTTGAAGGGTCCTTCCTCATAATGTGGTCAACTATGGTGGAGAAGGAAAGAAGTCAATCTTCAAAGGCTGTAGGAAACGTTTTGGACCCAGCATTGTAGAAAAAGGTTTTGGATCCGGTGGTACAATCTAGAACTTAAAATATATATATATATTTTTAAAGAAAGCAATTTGAAAAACTAGTTTACTCAGAAGATGCGATGCAAAAGGAAAAAAAAAAAAGGAAAGTAAATAGTGGGTAGAAATCAAGCAGTAGCACTATTGTTCTAGTGGAATTTCTTCTCCACCCTATTCTTCTATTGAACCAAGCAGCTGTTCCTGCTGTTTAGATGCTTTAAGAAAAGCTCAAGTATTCCAACTAACTCAAGAGAATGAAATCTGTACAGCATCTTCAATTAAGTTCAATTATCTAACGTCTTCAATTAAGTTCGATTAACTATTCTAAAATCAGAATAGCGAGACTAAAGCCATCTTTTGGAGACGGATCAAATCTACTTTGATGCTTCACACCAAGCATGAATGTCTCAAAGACGATTTCATTCGTTTTAGTTCAGGAAGATGAACTGGAGCAGTAGGAGAGGCAGTCGCCATCCAGCACCTAAGGATTCCATGACCTGGCTCAGGGGTCTCCAACCTTGGCCACTTTAAGACTTGCGGACTTCAACTCCCAGAATTCCCCCGCCAGCCATTCTGGAAATTGAAGTCCACAAGTCTTAAAGTGGCCAAGGTTGGAGACCCCTGGCCTGGCTGATAACTGTGGCCCATTTGGCTAGGTGAGGGGTTAAGACTGGTTTTCTGTTTTTTTTCAGGGCAATTCTATTGAACTGATGTTCAATGTAACAACTTAATTCTTCTCCAGCAGGGGGTCTCACCTCTTAAAAGTGCAAAAAAGCAGTAAGAGGGATTTAAACTGAGAGGAGTCAAATTTTTAACTAACCAGCATCTGAACTCAACCCTAACTTCAGAATGTGTGGATATGTTGGAGTACAACTCCTGTGTTTTCAGGTGTCAGTCAACACAAGACAAGCAATTTAAAAGCTGTAAGCGAGAGGCATCAGGTTGTGAAAAGCTGACAAGATAAATCGCTCTCTCTGTACAGGACACGCACCTCTCAAGGAACATTGAAAGAATTAGCACCACTTTCAAACTTTTAGAAGTCAACCTTAGGTCAAACCTGTTTAAATGTTATGTTAAGAATGCCCATTATCCTTATGCAGTACATTGATTATAAATTGATAGTCAATCTGGAAAAAAAATCATTTATGGGGATAGCTAGGAAAAAGAGTTATACTAACTACAGAGGCTCTCTATAATTTCATTGGCACAGCCATATAATTTTCTTGGCACCGGGTCTGGGTAACCATTCTCATTCTGAATGCACACTTGAAAGCCTTTTTATGTTCCTCTGGCTTCTGTTAGGAAGTATTTCTCAACCTTGGGAACTTTAAGATGTGTGGACTTCAATTCCCAGAATTCCCCAGCCAACCATGCTGGCTGGGAAATTCTGGGAGTTGAAGTCCACACATTTTAAAGTTCCCAAGGTTGAGAAACACTGTGTTAGGAGGAAGCCATTCATAGGGATTTAGTACGTACAGTCACACAAAGTTAAAGGTTTTGCCGTGTATGAAACACCAGGCAAATTAAAAAGCAGGCTAAGTTCTGTCATTTCATTCTAAGCTGGCCGCTGCTCTTAGTACTTGAATATTAATTCTGGGTTACTAATGAGCCTTAGGGTCATTCTTGAAATCGATAGTGTGTTTTGAAAGGTTTTATAATTCATGAGCAAACTACCCATCAGCCTATCTTTTACGCACTCAAATTGGATGCTCAAAGCTGTTCAGTGCCACAAAGGAAACCACCAAACTGAAGGAATTTCTTCAGAATACTTTAGGCTTTCTGCCTACTGTACTTGTGAAAATTGGGTCCTTCCTTTGGCTAAAGAAAAGCTCTGTTATATAGCTAGGGGACCAGAAGTTTGAAACTGAAACAGGGACATGGAGTAAAGGTCTGTAAGGATAAAAGCAAGAAAACAACACTCTTTGGGGTATAGAAGCTGTTACAAGGCATATCCTAGTGAGAAAAAGACCACAGGGTATATGGCAAGGCAAAAGATTTTCAAACCAATAAATAGGTAGGCAAGTTCCCTATTCAAACCATCACTCTGATTAGAGTGATAGCATCATTCCAGTAAGTGGGATGCCTGGATAAAGTTAGGGGCCTGCCCTTTGACATTCTGTATATTAGTTCTTGGCTAAGAAAATCCCCCAAAAAGCTATTTGGAAAAAAAAAAAAGTTTGCTAGAAAGAAGTATGTATATTTAATGCTGGTAGGGCAGAACCTCAATTTGTCAGTAAACCACTTTTGTAACTGAAGTTGAGGCTCTATAGCTGTGATGGTGAACCTATGGCGTACGTGCCACAGGTGGCACACAGCACCCTTTCTGTGAGCACGCAAGCCGTTGCCTCAGTTCAGCTCTGCCGCGAATGTGCGTGTGCCTCCCGCTGGCCAGCTGGACACCGGGTCTCTGCTGCACATGCGCGGGGTGTATGCGGGGGGCCGCGCTCACGTGTTGGGGGGGCACATGCAGGGGGGTGCGCATGCACAGGGGGGCACATGCAGGGGCACCGCGCCCGCATTGCATTTTGGGGGTTTGGCCACGGGCGCACGCTTTGGGCACTTGGTCCAGAAAAGGTTAGCCATCACTGCTCTATAGGTTCCAACAATGCTGAAATGACTCCGTGGTAATTATTGAAGGATTAAAGCAAAATAATAAGGAAAACTGGGCATATGTTTCATATGGCCAAGTTGGCCCATGAAAACTCCCATGTGGTGTCTAGAGAAGGGTAATTGGCTTAATTTCATCACATCTCATTATGCTTTTAGCATAATGTGGTTTTTTTAAAAAAAATAAGCACTTACAGCTAAGTTGATTCATGAAGGACCTTCTACGGAACTGAGAATCTGCAAATCTTTTGATCGCAAAGCAAGACCACATCCAGTGCTTAAAGCTCTTGTCTTCAAGGCACACGGAGGGAAATTCTTCCTAATTTTGCATATACTAAATCCCACCTTCATTATAAAAACTTAAGTGGTACTATCAGTCAAGCAGACAGGATCCCTGTTCCCTGGCTCATTCTATGGTTTAACAGGCTTGGGAAGGGGGGGGGGGGAGATAAAATTGTTTAGAAGATCCTGTTGTGTACACGGTACAGTTTTTAAAACTCCAACCTAAATTAATACATTCCAAATTTAGCATAAAGAAACTATTGTTAGGGCTGGTGGGAGTAGAAATTTAAAATTATACCCTATCTGAGGGACAAAGAAGGTGAATCACCAGCTTACTACAGTGTTTCCAGTGCCTCACATAACTGTTGCAAAGGAAATTAGTATTACTTGCAAGTTGGTTGCCTGTCATCTTAAGCAACACTTCCTGGTTGTACCAGGAGCTGCAAATTTAGTCCTAAACCAAAGAAAATCTTTAACAATATACATATATTTCATAGTAACCTGAGAATCTGGAAATCTAGGGTTCATTTTCCTTCTTTCTTGGAAGGATGTACAAGTCCCATCAACTGGGAGGGAAATCAGTTATTTGGAAGCCTGGAAGATCAATCTTTGGTTATTGGATGAAAAGAGGAAAGCAAAAATAAAAAAGTTTGGCATTCTGGGAAGCAACGGCCATTTTCTCTCCATCTTATCTGCCTCCGTCCCCATTTTGGGGACGTGCCGGGGCTTAATCAGACCACTCGTCTTCATCAAACTCCGAGGAATCATCTTCTGAATCGCTGTATTCTACCGCAATGCGGCGCGAGAGGATGGTTGCCACATCATTGCCCACAACGTCTCGCTTCTCTTGTTCACGTTCTTCTTCAACTTTACGGAGCTGGAATCCTGGCAAGGAAAGAAAGAAAGAAGTTGCAGATGCCCCCTTCCATATGTACTCTCCCTCTCTCTTTCTGCACTACCTTGCCTCCCCAAGAAAAGGGAAATAACAGCAACTAAGATGATTAGGAAAAAAGCTCAACATAAAAGGTAACGTTCATGGTTTATAGAGTTCTTCAGCAAGTTACATTGCTTTGAAAAATGCAAAAATATAGTGAGGAAGATGCCAAACGTGAAGATTATACTGTATAAGACATTGGGACAAAGTGAACTACATGAAGATAATTTTAATAATGAGATGCAGGAAGAAACTAAAAAGCATGTAACAAATGCAGAAGAATTCGGATCATAATAAAGCATATAAAGCAACAATGAGTATTCTCTCTTCAAAACACAGGAGTCGGGCAATTTTTTAAACTTTCAATTAGTTCCAATCAAAAGGATGCAGCTAATGTTGCTGTTTAAACTTGCTGGATGGAATAGAAAAGTTAAGCTGTCACTGGTGGTTAGGAATCGAAATCCACAATGGCAGTAAATGCCATTGTATGAGGTTAAATGATTTCCAATACATTTTGCTAAATTCAGAATTCCAGCAACTGCAGAATGACTCCTAATTGGGGTATGTTTATGGTAGGGTGCTTGGCCTTTTAAGGTAGTTCACATTCAGACATCCAAAATGAGAAGAAGCTTACCTTGACGAATAGCAGAAAGCAAGTCACTCCTAGCTTCACTAACAGCAGGCAATGAGGATTTTGGCTTGGAAGGCACCAAATCGGGTTGTTGAATAGAAGCCTCTGGAATACCCATGCCACCAAAAGATGAAGGAGGTGGGCCAGGAGGAGGAGGGGGAGGGGGAGGGGGTGGCACCCCACTTATGGGCTGTGGTAGGAGGGGAGATGGCACAATGGCATATTCTGCTGCTGGAGGTGGAGGGGGTGGAGGGGCAGCAAAATCAGGGTGAGGTGGGAAGGAGGGTGGAGATGGTGGAGGAGGAATGCCAGCAGCTTGAAAGCCGACAAGTGGAGGGGGCGGAGGAACTCCATCCATCGGTGGTGGAGGTGGTGGAGCAGGAGGTGGAGCAAAACCAGGTCTGGTTCCCGGGAGTGAGCTAGTAGGAGGATCTGGTGGAGGATGGCTGGGGCTGACGAGGATGGATTTCTTCAGCCCTCCAGAAACACTCTGGCTAGGTGGATAGCTGTGGAGTGGAGAGTGGGAAGAACGGAAAGCAAAAGAAGGTCTCGTGAGTTTTTCAGATAGGATCAAATAGTGAAAAAGTGCATCTTGACCGTAGAACAAAGCAATTGGTTTCTCCCATTTTCTGATATCCCGCACAAGAACTGACTTAAATTCTGTAATTTAGATTCAATGTTCCCTCTGGAATCCTAGACTTTTGGAAAGATTCCAATGGATGTGAAAAGAATCTGAACATAACCCATACTCAAATAACCTTGACATGCAATTTTTTTTTTTTTTTAAAAAAAATCAAGGTCAACAAATGCATGTCCCTTGTAATCCCACCTTTATAGAATTCCGGCTTTCTGCAATGCTAAACAAATTATAGGCTGAATCCCCAGCATAGCATCTGATTAATAATGGGCTCGCTGACTCATTTTTTGGCCCTTGTGAAGCTCCCTGCCCTACCTAATTTTATATTAATGTTCGAATGAGAAGAATCTTGAAAAATCTAAAAAAAAAAAGATACATTTGGTGCTTCATTTGTCCTTAAAATTAAGAGCTAGCATTGCAACAAGCAAAGCACCAAGTATTTTCAATCTGTTTCTAGGCACGATATCCTTAGCAAATAACATTGGGGGCAGGGGTGGGTGGGAGATAACAGTCCAATGCTTTACTTGCTTTCTGATAAAAGCTTACTTTGCAATCGATGCTAGGCATTATGACATGCTCTTCATATTTAAAATGATCTCCATATTCCAAATGTGCCCATATTTCAAAAGGCACAAGAGTATCCAGATACACCCACTTTTGTTTCAATAAAATTCTTAACCCCGCGTATTTATTTCATATCTTTTACAAGTAAGAAATTGGTTTCCTTTTTAATTAAAGCCCTTCCCAATATGGAATTAACTAATTCCCCATTCTTCTTTCATTTGTAATTATGGTAAGATATACCATCACCAACGCTATAAATAATTGAATGTTTTTACGAAGGAAAAAATGATGTATAAAACAATCGTAACAAGAGTTGCAATGGAAACAAAAACACAGAAGGGCTGTTTTTAGCATAGTGTTTAAGTACTGCTTGCAAAATATCCTCTGGCAAGTTACAACTATTGACCTCACTAATGGACAGGCTCTTTAAGGTCTTCTCTGAGTTGTTTTGATGGTTCGTGAGCCTTCAGCAATACATACTTACCTAAATTCTGCTGGTGGCGGCGGAAGACTATCATCTGACAATGGAGGAGGTGACGGTGAAACGGATTCTGGCTGTGGAGGAGGTGGATAGTAGGTAGCATCAACACTCTCATTGGAGCCAATGCTACCATTCTGATACACCATGTTAGGAGGGTACCTAAAACCGCAAAAGTACAGTTGTGAGCCAAGGGCCTTCCCCTCCAAGAGTTCAAAGGAGTTTCAAATGTAGAATGCTCATCACATATGCAAAACATATAAATGGTAGTAACTTGGCTAGACTTTTACATCTAAACAGGTAGTCCTCAACTTGCAACAGTTCATTTAGTGACCATTCAAAGCTACAATGGCACTGAAAAAAGTGACCTGTGACCATTTTTCACAGTGAGGACCATTGCGTCCCCCTGGCCATGTGATCAAAATTTGAATGCCTGGCAACTGGTTCACATTTACAACGGTTGGAATGTCCTGGAATCTTTTTGGCTTTTGTGATCCCTTTTTGCCACCTTCTGAAAAGCAAAGTCAATGGGGAAGTCAGGTTCACCTAAACACCATGCTACTAACTTAGCAACTGCAATTTCACTTAACCACTATGACAAGAAAGGTCATAAAATGGGGCAAAACTCACTTAACAAATGTCTTAGCAACATAAATTTTGGGCTCGATTGTGGTCGTAAGTCGAGGACTACCTATACGGCAGCATCTTACCATTAACTAGAATTTCAATTATAGGGACAGAGATCAGTTTACCCATATTTAGACCCAGGCCTCTGAAATCAATATAATTTATCTCCTTCACAAAATTATACTATTCTTTAAAAAGAAAAATGATGGATCACACCAGCAATCTTCTCCTATTCAGGAATGATTTTTCATACATTCCTCTCACATACGGCACTTACACCAAGTGGGAAGTGTAAAAAAAAAACTACAAAAGGATAAACGGTCATTTAGGCTTCCTTCAAATGAGACCAGTTCAGATGACAATCTCATACACATTTATTAGGAAAACAGTACCAAAATAGGGCCAGCGGTATATCACTCTGATTCAGATTAACATTCATACAGTTTCACCAATTTGCTATGCATTCCCAAGCCAGCTGATCCTGGCTGCAAGTGATGGATGTAAAACTGATATGCAGAATTATCCAAATTTCAGCCGTTTGCCAAAACAATTAAAAAGGCTTTCAAGATTCCTAATTGACATTTCCAGTTCATTACAAGAGTAAATATGTGTGGAAAATAAACACAAGTGGCCATGCAGAGAGGACCTTGGAAAAGTAACTGGGCAGCTCTCTTCCAACAACCTCAGAATGCACACACGAAAAAGTTCATGGCCTACCTCTGCTCAGCCATTCATTTATTCCAACATTGTCAAAGGCTTCTCTTTTGCAACACAAATGATGTGCCACTCTAGAAACAATTTTAGACCTGTGGTTTCCCCCACCTTTTTCTAAAGGAAGAAGAGCTGAAGGTGTATGTGTGTGTATGTATGACCTTGATAAAAAGGGTTTTTAAAGCTATAATGAAAGACAGAAATGGAATTCCTCTGGCTGCAGGCTTTTATTATAAGGTTACCCTACAGGACAGGATGGGAACATTTCACTGCAATAACCCCCTTAAATGCAGTGAAATTTGTTTTTGAAATGGATAGTTTTCTTTAACCTGTAGTTTCAATTAATAAGGATATAGACCCTAAAGAAGACAATGTCTACTTTCTCCTAAATGGCAGAAGATCATAAGAATTATCTGATAGGTTTATTTCTTTGGGTAAAAAACCTATTCCGTATTATCCAAGATATCTCTATAGCAAAATGACTAAACCCAAGTAAAAGTAGACAATTTTTATTTGTAATAGATGAAGCTACCCCCAAATCAAGCTGATAGGCAGAACTTTCTTCTTTTAAATGTCATAGTATCTTATGAAAGAAAGAGGTAGTTTGCAGAACATGTTCCAGTTCTACTCTAAAACCAGTAGTGGGAACAACAATCTCCAAATCAGTTTCACAACAGCAATTTATATAGGTTCTAATCAACAGTAGACAAATTGTTGAAGGAAAATCAAGGTGGTGTAGTTAAGTTTGTATTACTATGCAAATATCAAGTTTGTTTTGCTTAATTTGCTCCCTACAGCAATAGCACTTAGACTAATATACCACTTCATAGTGCTTTACAGCCCTCTCTAAGCGGTTTACAGAGTCAGCATATTGCCCCCAACAATCTGGGTCCTCATTTTACCGACTTCAGAAGCAGGGAAGGCTGAGTCAGCCTTGAGGTGGTCAGGATCGAACTACAGTCAGTCGGCAGAATTAGCCTGCAATCCTGCATTCTAACCACTAGGCCACCACGACTATGCAATAAATAAAAGGTTCTGTGAACTCGAAATGAAAGAGCATGGTGATTATTTCACAGATCTCAAACCCCTCTATTTCTGCATTAAATGTAATAACAGTAAAGTCACTTTCAAGTCAAGCACTCCTCCTGGTGACTTACATTTGAGACTCATGCTGTTTTCTTAGTATGACCCCAAACTAGTTTGATAAGAAGTCAAGATTTTTAAAAAAATCTTTTTTGAGATATAGCCTTAAAGAAATGTGCTAGGATTCAAAATTCTACTTCAGCTATTCACTTTGAGTTAGAGCAGGCTACACTTCAGGAAACAGAAACCTTTAGCCTTGTTGGTCACAGGACCAACTCCATGGTTACTATTACAGTTTATCTCTTACCCTCCCGGTCCATGTTTTTCCCTTGTATCGACAAACTCTTGACCCATTTTCATTTTTTCCCATTCTTCTTTTCGGCTTTTTATCTTCCGAGGATTGACATTTCCTCTGTTAGGATTATCCTTCTTTTCTTTCTATAAAACAAATAAATAGGAAGCAATTGTAGATGCCGTTAGTCCTTTAAGCTCGTCATCAGCAAAGAAAGGTTATCTCAATAAAAATGTACATAATACGGAACATGTTCTCACACTAGATCTAGCTACACTTATATGTTTTATTTATTGAATTTGTATGCTGCCCATCTCCCTGATAAGGTGACTCTGGGCGGCTTACACCTATCCAATAGCACAAGTATTTAATAGCTCTTAGGCATCAATGTTTTATCTGAGGTCTATGTTTTGTAAATAGGCATCCACAGATGAGTGAAAATGATGTGCATCTTTACAAAAGAGACCAGTAAGATATTCTTCAAAAATCCAATCACAGGATCACATCTTGCCTGCTATAAGCAGTTACTCAAATGTAACGACACAAATAAATAAGAGCTGGGTTTTGTTTTTGTTTTGCTATAAGCATGCAACTGCTACGTAATAATCCCTGATGTCAACACTGCTAAATCAAACCTTAATTTAATGGTTCAGAATTTCTACAAATTAATTGCAGAAGGCTGGCAGGCACTAAGTAAGGTAAAATTTTGGGTAAGAAAGCCTAAAAGGAAGCTATTAAAGGGATCATGGGGATGGAAAAAACTTCTTAGAAACTGCAAATTTCCCATCCTCAAATAAAAATGCAGTTAAGAACATAGGAAAATGCCATCTAGATAAAGCTTTTTTACGAGTACAATTTCCCAACTGATTCATTTCAATTGAAAATATTCCAAAAATGAAGATTTCTTTTTGCAACATCTTTACCCAGAAATACATAGCAGGTAATGTAATCCACATTAGGAAATCCTAACTTTGCTCAGTTGCAGGTTAAAAACCCAACCCCACTCAACCAGCTGTGTGATTGGTTGTCCATATCCACCATTACCAAAGGTTGCCTGTAGTCAGGCAATGGAAATCATCTACATTTTCTTCTCTTTGCTTAAAGATAAAACCAAACAAATGAACATAACCAAAACAGTGCCACACATCTCACCCTATGCTTCCGTCTCTCTTTCATAATATCCTTGGTATCCTGCAGCATTTTCTCCTTCCAAAGATCAAAGAAATACGATGGATCTGTGTAGAATTTAAGTGCTTCTTTGCCATCATCCCTAGGGGAGAAGTTATCCATACAGAATGAGATGGTTACGGGTGTGTACCCGAAAACCAAATATGAAACAGATATAATAAGGGAAAAAATACCACCGTGTCTTAACAATAAGTTTCTCCTTTAAGGTAAACCAAAAAAGTGCAAATTTTTAGCCCATTCTGTACCAGACTTCAACATGTGCAAAAAGCAACTTTTTGAAACAGCATGGACATATATATACTTCTCTGGCAATGTGTGTGTGTGTTGGGGGGGGGGGGAGGTCATCTCAAAAAAGACAGCTGCCTCCAGCTACCTGTAATTACTTTTTTCCTATTCAAAAAGATATTAATGGATATGTTTACAGTTAAGGAAGTATTTATATTCCTAACCTTCAAGTCATTCTGAGTCATAATATTCTCAATTATATATTACTTTACAAGAGGATATATATTTATGTTTTCCTGCTTTTCATTATATAATCATAAACCCAAATATGCCACATAAAATGATATGCCAGAATCGAACCGTAAGCAGAGCAGCTGGTTTCACCACCACATTTTACCCTAGAATTTTATCAGTATCAGGTTTGAGAGTCCAACAATTAAATTTCCCAGAGAATTAGTTTGCGAGTTGTTCCAGCAATCTTACCATCAAATCTATGCACTAATTGCAAAAAGTTAAATAGGAAAGCAGCATTAAATTACATGCCCAGAAGAACATACAGAAGCATTGTATGTTAGACTGGCCACAGAGGAAGTTTATACAATACTATTAAAGTAAAATAAACTTATATATGGACAAACAGGCCATTTTGTCTTCGTTAATTTACAAGACTGATTTTGGGTTCTCCAGCAAACCAATATTAAAGAAGGCAGTTCTTTATATCAAATACAGATACCAGTCAAATAATATGCAAATTATTTACATCATGCACAAAAGACTATTTTTCTTCGCCTTAACCAATTAAACTGCATTTCCACAATTAAGTAACTTCAAATTTTAAGATTTTAGTCTTGTCAACCAGTATCCAAATCCTCCTTTTATAAATTTGTATCATGGCTTTTCTATTTTCTCTATTCTCTGTTTTCCTCAAAAAGCCGAAAATATTTAAACCAAATTTAAACTTAAAACAGAAAGCTCTCTTTCGAGAGCCATTTGATGCCATTCCACATTTTTTAGAGGAGTTTAAAGCATGGTATTTTCTCCTGGATATGTTACCTGTATGAGGACAGAATGTTAAGAGGTGGTGGTTTATTGCAAGTGCTGTATGTTTCAAGGACAGGCAGAGGGGCAGATTCTCTCTCAAAGAGCTTTTGGTCCTGAGCTGTGGAACTCTTGAAGGCTTTCCTGGTGTTAATACCTTGTAAGGACACTATGAAGAAAAAGAAACGGGAAAGAAAATAGTCATTTGAAACACAAGTTGTTGTTTTTGGTTTTTTTTACAAAATATAAACTTTTTGCCACATCTCCAAGAAAGCTTTCATAAATAAACACACTTTTCTGATGCCATTTCCAAAAGAGAGTTGTCCAGAAGCCAGTAGAAAGGAATACTTAGCAAAGGACCCAAACTGCCATGGAACTAATTATCGTGTTCAAAGTAAAATACTACATAGAGATCGTGAAGAACTCTCTTTTCTTCTGGCAGATTATGAGGCAATTCCCAGAGTGCGGCCAAATTTTGTCTAGCAGTTTTGAGAATGTGGCAACAAATATTATCAAATGTGGCTGGGTTCTTTGAATTTTTTTTTTTTTTAAATCAATAGTCTCAGGAAATTCCTTGCCGCCTCCTGGATCTTCTCTATTGTAATTATGAATTTGATGGATTTTATGTTTATATGCTCGTCTCTGACTAAAAACAGAACAAAGCATGGAAAACCAGTCCTCTCTAAACAGAGATTGAAAAAAATATCATGGAAAATGAGCAGTTGGCAATTTTACAAAAATATATGTGATTATTTAACCAATCAAAATGTAAAATATTTCAAACAGCTTTAAGTGGAAAAAAAAACTAACTATCCAGAGGCTGCTGGAAAGATAGCTTCATATATTTCATTTATTAGACTCTAATAAAATTCAGGTCAATATGGTGCTTTCCCTTCCTACTCTTACCAGCAATCCAATGGATGCAACAGATTGGGGTGTCCAAACTTGGCAACTTTCAGACTTGTGGACTTCAACTCCCAGAATTCAAATTTCAACACCCCTGCAATAGATTATCTGAACTTGCAAAAAGTGATTATACCTTGCATGTTTATTTCTTAGCCTCTTCTAAACTTGTGTTCCCTTTCCTTCTCAAAAATGTTGGCAGTTAACCTGCACAGTCAACACAAGCAGCTGAATTCTACGGTTTAATCAGAAGAAAGGGCTGGAACGAAATATGTTCATGGTTGTTCTTTCCTCTGTATCAGTGTTTCTTACCGTATCAAGGACATGTGGACTTCAACTCCCAGAATTCCTCAGGCAGCATGGGGAATTCTGGGAATTAAAGTCCACATGTCTTCAAACTGATAAACACTGCTCTATACAGAGCGGTAAGCAAAAAGACATTTATGCTTCTCATTATTACGAAGTGATTTCTCCCTTGTTAACAAAATAAGGCAGGGTACCCACTTTTCTACAAGATTCTCTTGGACAAGCATGATGGATCAGCTGAGACTGTTGGGTGATTCAAAGTAATTTTCCAAAGTCTCAAGGGAAAAAAAGGCTTTTGCTGCAGTTCTGAATCATAGTGTTCTAAAAATATAATGTTTTATATACCTTCTTCCTCCTTGGGATCCAACTGAGTAACTTTCACCTGAAGGCGATCAACTCTCTCAACTAAAGAGGTGACTCGAAAGGTAAATGTGGTTGCTTGTGTAAACAGCTCTCCAAATATGTCCTCTGCAAATTTACCTGAAAAAGAAAAAAAAGAGGCATGTAGATTGAAATGCTGGAAAAAAAATTTCCCAGAAAAAAAGCAACAGTAAAATCACTTTCACACGATTGCCAAAAAACAAACAAAAAACCCAAACTACTCTAAATGTATAGCCAGGTAGTCACAAGTTGACCTCAATAAAATGAGTCTTTAATTTAAGCATACTAATTAAGCTTAACTTATGCACAGGATGCAATTATACAAAAGCAGTATATTTTCCTTCAAAACTAGAACAATAGTAAAAAAAAAAAAAAAAAAAAGGTTCCATAGAAACATTGAACATACACATGGTACTTCCATAAGTTAAGCTTATTTATGGTCTAAAACTAATTAAAGCATAAAACACAATACTTAAAAGCGCAAGAAAAGCAAATCCGAAACAAATAGTAATGAGGTACCAATTGCCTTCAGCGAGCTATAGCTACTGCTATAAATTGACAAGAACATCTTTCAAAATAAAAGGAAGGAACTGATACAGAATTGATAAAAGACTTATTAAATAGTAAGTAGGTAATCAGGAGTCAAACTGCAGCATCACAGCCAAGAGCTACTTAGAGTCAAAAAATAAGATTCTCACAATCTTAATAATCAGATTTACTGGTAGGATAAAACAAGTTAAAGGTGAAGGTAAAGGTTCCCCTTGCTAGTCGTTTCCGGCTCTAAGGGGTGGTGCTCATCTCTGTTTCAAAGCCAGAGCCAGCGCTGTCCGAAGATGTCTCCGTGGCCATGTGGCCACCATGACTAAACGCCAAAGGCACATGGAACGCTGTTACCTTCCCACCAAAGGTGGTCCCTATTTTTCTACTTGCATTTATTACGCGCTTTCGAACTGATAGGTTGGCAGAAGCTAGGACAAGTGACGGGAGCTCACCCCATTACGTGGCACTAAGGATTCGAACCACTGAACTGCCGACCTTTCTGATCGACAAGCTCAGCGTCTTAGCCACTGAGCCACCGTGTCACTGAGTCTAAAAGTTAGATTACAGCAATCTTGGCAAGTGAATATGTTTATTTTCTGCCATTTATTAAAGTGGGAATTTCCTGAACCTCCTCCCAACTGCCTGTTCTTGCAGTGTGGAAGTGCCTTCCTGTTTTCCTGATAAAGAGGAAATGCACAGCTATTCAATACTTGTAATACTTTGAAACCCACCTTTCTCTTTCCTAAGAAGGCTATTATACATTGTGTGGGTCTTTTTAGCTTCTAATATGGTCTACGGGATAAAGAAAATAAGAGCTCTATTCCACTGTCTTCTGGAAGCTCTAAAAGACTGACTTCATTACATGATACCCAGAGGAGGTCCCATCTCTCTGCTTTCCTTCACACTGGGCACAAAGTCATTTATTACTTGCAGGTGGCAGCACCAGAAAACAAAGCAAGGTACTTTCAAGGTTGAAAATAATGTTCCCAATGTTGTATGGGAGATTTAATGTTCCTACTAAATCAGACAAAAAGTCTGGAAAAGAAACTTCATGGGGAGCAGATATTAAAAACATTTTAAATAAATAATTAAAAGCAAATTAAAGTCTACAGGCAAACGTATGGAACACCTGAAGCTTCCCGTGGACTCCTGAGAAGCCTCAGCAGTGTGTCAACAATTTTGAAATGCCAAGAAAACGAAGAAAATAATTTAGTATTTATTCAATTATATTGATGAATTCCTTGTTTTCACAAAGACAATAGATTACATCCTAAGTGTGAGGCACTAGGAAACGGAATGGGACAACTCACCATGGCCAACTCGCCATGGCCAACTGCAGGACAATTTAACAATCCAATTTAATAATTAAAATAAATAAAAAATTATTTTAATTTTTGTCATTCACATTTCATTCTGTCCCTCCTTATGCATTCTTTCTTTAAGGATTCTATTCCACCATGTCTTTGATATTAGAATAAGTCTTGTCCCGTGGCGAGTTGGCCGTGGCAAGTTGGCTGCAGCAACCCACTACGAAACTAGGAGAAGCAACAATGATTAGCAAAGACTGGAAGATATGGAGATTTATAGTGAAAAGCATTAGTGTGAATTCTTTAAGACATATTTTCTTTACCCATCTCACCTTAACTACTTCACCATACAAAAAAGGCAGCAATTTCTTTTAGGGTTATGCATTTATGTGTTATGCTTATATATACTGTGTATATCACTGTGAGATTTCGAGTGTGAGCCTATCTGGAAAGAATACCCAAATGTAGGCTGCAATATAAAGTACTCCGAGTCACACAATACTTAAAAGGGTTTTCTTTCACACTTCATAGTGCCAAATTTGCACTTTATTCTTTGTACAAACATAATTCTCCCTTGATGCTACCACCTTTGATTAAATTCAACACACGCTATTTTATTTGACTCAGTTTGTATTTCTATTGAGTCTTTTACACCCCGGGGAATTAGCAGATCTCTGAGGATCCACAGGTGAAATAATTGTCAACTTTTTCAATAAACCTTTTTATCTTGAAAAGTATTGCTTTTTTATCATACTATCCCCTAAACTGTGTAACTGCACAAGTGTCACATATGAAAAGAAGTGGTTCCACAATCCATAAAGTTCACACCATGTACTATGTGTGGAGCAGGGAGAGAGAAAAACAAGCTCAGATTAAAAAGTGCTACATGTATATAATTTTTTCTGGGTTAACTGCAGCAAGGATATATGCACCATTTCCTAAAGAATCCAGAAAGAGTAAGACTTAAAGGTTTTCTCTTTATTCAATCATACCCAGGTTTTAATAATAAAAATATCATAATCAAAAACAGAATCAGATCTGCCTTATTCCCTCCCCCCCCATTTCCTTAGAAATGCACAACGTTTTCAAGAAAAGGCTCCCTTCCACAATTTTCATTCGACAATAATATCCAGATTATTCTGCTGATTATTTCAACCTTTTCAAACCTCGAGAACAGCATTTTATGTACATGTCAAACTGTCTTGTGCACACATTTGCTTTGCAGGCAGAAATACTGTGGTTCCTTCCAAAAAGGGTGGGGAACAAAAAAGAAAAGACAACAGCAGCGGAAGAAGTTCCTCCTTGACTCACCTTAGTCATTATTTGAGATTGCACGGTAGAACAGATGTGGTAAACCCATTTTCTTTTTTCAAGCTGAACTACTAGTGTCAGCAGGGACGTGTGTATTGAGTGATCTGTAATGGTTTTGCAAGGATTTCCGACCCTCAGTTGTTTAATAGTAAAACAAGAGACTTTCCACCAACACAATTCCTATCCTCAATAAATAAAGCCTGGAACATCCAGAAGTAGATTATATGTTTAAAAAAATTGTTTCATCTGGTTAATCTTAAATTTACAAACAGGTTTTTATTTATATTTTGGTTTTCTGTGCAATCTGACACTTGGTTTCCCACTCTAGCTTGTTAGGAACAAATCGAGCTCCCGATACACAGTTAAACAAGGGACTTCCACAGTTTGGTTGTTCCTGCTGACAGAAGAGGTGCAACAGGAGTGACTAAACAAGTACCAGCTTACTTGCATGCTTACAGAAAGTCAGAATAACACAGAGAAGGGTAGATAGATCCCGGCATTTGAATTATACTCTTAAATGGTAAGATTGTGTGCTGCACCTCCTTTGATTCACCTTTTCCTGAACTCTGGGAGACAGCAAGCAACCTAGCACCAGGGATAGTTAAGCTAATAGGCAAGTGGAATGTGGGGGAAAAAAAAAACAAGTTTATCACCCACTTCTAAATAATTGAACATCATCTGTATCTGAAGCTCTTGCACTGAGGTTAATGAACCTCAGAAGCAATTCATTAAGATCTGGAGGACAGCAATCACTGATAAGAATGTTAACATTTAACTGCCAGGTCACTTTCGACATGCAATTTACAAAGTCCACGAAAAGCTGAAGTGACATGGGAAGAATGTGCAGATGGACACTGTGAGCAAAACATTAAAAAAAATAAGATGGACAGGCCTTAGTTGCAAGACTCCATTGACCCGAGCCTCCACTTGTGCTATGTAGCTATCTTCCCCAGCCAAGGCAGAATTTGGTCATCTTAACTATGGGAAGGTGTGAATGTTGTACGAGTGTGAATGCGTTTGAATTTCTTTTTTACAAACTCCAAAATCAATATTTTATTGTTGTTGAATCTTGGTGTCTTGTGATACTCACTGCATGAGATTAGACCCATGATGGCGAATCTATGGCATGCGTGCCCAAAGTGGCACACGGAGCCATGTCGCCTGGCACACGTGGCACCGCCCGTTCCTCTTCTGGGTTTCTGGCGCGCATGCACACGCAATGATCAGTTGGCCTTTGTGCGTACAGCAGTGCCTGAAACCAGAAGAGCTGGTCTGTGAGCCGGGAATGGGGCTTCCTCAAACTTCGGAATTGGGAGTGTCCAGAAAGGAGGAGGACCAATGGGAATTCTCCCTTCTGCAGCGTCATCAGTCTCCGGGCAGAGTCTCCCTTGACTTCACCCACTGGCGGAGAGAGTTCCGCGCATAGAAAAAGCCCAAGTTGGCTATTCAGGCCAAGATCCCCCCTCCCACTTTCTCCGCTTCTCTCTCTCCGCAGAACTGTCTCTCCTCCTTCAGGTGAAGTCCCAAAGGACTCTGCCCGGAGACTGATGATGCTCAAGCAGCGATAATTCTCATTGGTGCTGCCCCTCGTTCTGGCCCCTCCCAGCTGATCGGCACGAGCGCATGTGCGGCAGTAACCAGACGACTTGCTGGCCGGTGTGCATGTGTGCACTGGAAACCGGAAGTACCTTATCTGGTGCACGCATGCCCCCTGGGCAGCTCCTCTTCCTGGTCACGGCCCTGACGAGTGCACGCATGCATGCAAAGCATACACACGTGAAGTGCTCCCTTTTTGGCATTTGGTGCCCCGCGCACGCTCGCTGTCTTTTTGGCACTCAGTGCCAAAAAGGTTTGCCATCACTGGATTAGACTATATTTCTCAAGAGTGGCCCTGCTTCATTACATCAGTAAAATGCAAGGCATTGATTTGATTGCATGACGGTTGTATGATAAATGGTACCCTTTGTGCAACTGGTCCTATGAAATTTATAAATTTGATTCTATGATTTTCCAAATCCTGATTATTAGATTTTTCTTTCTGCTGCTTGGACAAAGAGAGCATATAAAAAAATAGCAGATGAACAGCACAGACATTTCATTTCATTCAACAGGAAATTCAAATGCATGTTCACAGGTGTGAAGTCTTAGTCTTCAAATATGTGCATTTACATATCCTTGCATGCATATAGGGAAAGCCACCATAACAGAAGTCTGTGAGTAAGATATGACTTGCAGGAATAAAGGCTTTGAGTTGTGCTCCTAGACTGTATAAAGCAATCTCTCCCCATCTATCCATCTTCTGATATCTGGACTTCAACTAAATTCCTATGTTAGGGATTCTGTTATATAGCAGCCTGTCCAAAAAGCTATAATATTGCAATCAGGTTGTATACAGGCAATCCTCAACTTACGACAATTGAGCTCAGAATTTTGATTCTTAAGTCGTTATAGTCCTCCTGTTGAATCATCACATAGGCAGACTTGATCTTGTAATTATTTTTCTGATGGTTGTTATGCGAGTCACGCCGGTCATTAAGTGAATCACATGGTTAAGCAAATCACAACTCTAGCATTTTTGCTAGAAAATGACAAAAAAATGTTGCAAAGCTAAGGAGTGCGGGTATCCTGCTAGGAGCCGCAGGTGCTGGGTAAGGATGCTATACTGAGAACAAGATTCTTGGGATCTCATACTCCATTGCCAAGATCCTCAGGAGAAAATCAGTGGAAGCAATTTATGAGAGCAAGTTGTGACCTTCCCTGATGGCTTCCCCATTGACTGTGCTTGTGGGAAGATGGCAGGGAAAGTCACAAATGGCCATCGTGTGGGATGCTGCAACAGTCATAAGCATGAGCTGGTTGCCAAGCACCCAAATCATGATCATGTGACTGTAGGGATGGCGACGATGGTTGGAATTTTGAGGAGTAGTCATAAATACCACTTGTTCAATGCTAAGGAGAGTAAGGAACCATCAGTTCCAGATAGTTCTCAAATTATGAATGCTCGTTCACTGACCGTTCAAAGATATAACAAATCCGTCCTCATAATCTGAGGACTATCTGTAGCTGATAGTTCCTTAGCACCCTCAGTCGTCTTTAGAGGCTCTCCTTTAGGTGTCCTGCCAAATAAGGCAAGGAGGGCCCTGCTTGTGAAAAGCTTTGCTGAGGATAGAATACCAGGCACTTGCACTGATGTGTTATCAATGCCAGGTTAAGACATTTTTCTTCTTCTACAGGAATATAGTTATAAAAACTATAAACATTTTTACAGTAAGCTTTTTATTTTAAGTGCTCATATTATATTGAGATTTTGGTTCTGTATGGTTTTCATTAAATCATTCCTGCTCTGCTTATTCATTCTTTTTACTATTTGATTGTTTGCCATGCTTTAAGTAACTATAATTTGCTGAGAGTTCTGGGCAAGTTAGAAATATTAATAACCTCAACTACCACATTTTTGACATCTTGGATAGAATCATTGTTTGATTATTTATTTCGAAGAGTAAATGAAGTATATTCAGTAAATCATTTAGGAAAAATGAAGACTGCTAGAATAAGGTAACACTTCAGTTGCAAAAATTGCTGTGGCCGATTTCTCTTTTTATTACTTCAGCCCACGTTTTACTCAGCTTTTATATGAAGATATTGTCCAACCAGATTAAAAACTATACCCAACTCATTATTATTCATCTGCAGACATATTGAACAAGAGAATAGATTAAAATTGGGGGATTTCAGGTATGCAATGAAGTAAGTTTCAGTTCTAATCATTAAATTGCTTCCTTTTATGTTCTGACAAAATTCTGAACCCTGGAATCTGAACAATGCTTAATAGTGTGCCTCATTTTTTAGCTCAGCTTTTACTCCAACTATCCTGTGCATTCCTCTCAAAGAACATTACATGGAAGATCTTTTGGTACTGAGAAGGATGGATAATAAATAAGCCACAAGGAAAGAGGGCACTGAGAAAGAATTGGGAGCCCAACAGCTCTTGAGAGCAGTTTGCTATGGTACTTACTCAAGCTGCCCAGCTGTCGAATGACATTTGCCAGGGTGATGTTGGTCGCACATTCCAGCTCATTCCGAACACTGGGCAATGTCTGGCGGCACAGGTGCCTTGGCTCGATATTTCTTGTTACTAATGGCATGGTGGATCAGCTTCAAACAGGGCTCTGAAAGATAAAGAATAGTCCCAAAACAGGAAAAAGATTATATGGCCACAAACCTTAGCAACATTAGAGATACACTAATTTTCTAACATATCGTAACACAGTTATGTGTTCACTCTCTCATAACCTATATATTTTTTAAATAAACCTAATCTGTAAAGTTGCCAGAAGGAAATCAAAGCCTGATAGTTCCAAACTCCCACCAAAAACTCCCACTGCTGTAACCTGTCCCATATCCATTTATTCAAAACTATATATATGCTTTTTATGACCGCTAAATATTTTCAAAAACTATTTTTTATTAAATTTATATGCTGCCCATCTCACTATATCTAACAACTTTGGACACTATAAAGACCAATGTGAAATTTGCACATTAACACATTTTAGCTGGGGAAAGGATAAAAATTTGTCATGCTAGACAAATTGGATTCTCATGAAAAATCAGGAAGTGTTGATAGCTGACCAGGCAGCTTACTAACAACTGCTTTTTAGCCAGAGGATTGCACTATTTCTCCTAAATTCTCTCATGATGGAAGGCTTTCCTACGAATACATCTGCATTTTAAAAACAGTCATTTTACTTTACAGAAGAACACAGTAGGCAATGGCCTATCACAATTAGATAAATGCCATACCTTTTGAAATTATTATACCTCAGAAAGATTCTGAAGGACAATCATGCTTGTTTGCCTTTCCAAAACTTTTTTTTAATCAAGGCATCTGTAATTCAATTAACATAACACTTAAAGAAAGCATTTGTTAATAAATATTAATTAAACAAGATAATTTGTAGATTGGAGTTGCCTAAATCAAATTAAATATTTTACAGCCACTAGGGATAAAAATGTCAAAATACAGAATGATGCTCTTTTGACGTTCACTACCTTTCCACCTACTATAAAACCAACCATCCGATTTTCAGCAATCATAAAGTATTAAAGTGCCTGTATGCTCATGCCATTCATCTTCAAAAGACACTGATATTTCTCTTCAAGAATTTGCACTCTGTTGGAGAACACAGCCATGTGTTTATGAGCTGTCCAACTAGCGAAAATAAAATATACTGCATTTAATTAGCTAATTTTCAAGGAAGAAAAGGGAACCCACCCTCTCTGAGGTTAGGCAGCAAACAGCTTTGCTAAAGGAGACAGCTGTCTTGTGACAAATGCTCTGATCTGCTGTGGGATGGAATGGGGGGGGGAGGGAAGCAGGAAGCTGACAGCTTGGGGAACATGGCTTCCTGTCACCAACAGCAACAATCCAAGATTCTTTTTTTTTTTTAAAGTCAGCTGTTTATGCTTGACTTTGAACCACCTTTTTATAGTCTCTGTGGCAGCTGGCAGCTTATCTCTGAGGTCCAGGAGTCATTCCTGAATGCTTTTCTATCAGGGTGTTAAGGGACCGAAGCTGATTTAGCTTTTGCTAATTACCTCCCAAGCCAAAATCTAAATTTCCAAATTTGACCTACCACTGCAGAGGAGTCCAAGATCTAGAGGGTACAGAACAACATCCAAGGTTTTATGTGTAACACAAAGTTACAGTGGAGAGGGGAAAAAAACCCCTAAAATTAATAGTTGGAGCAAAGAGCAGCCAGGAAACCTTAAAATAAATTAATTTACCTATTACCAAGACATCCTATGCTTCGGTATCTCAGAGATCAGTTTACATATTGTGCTCATAATCACAATTGCGGTATTAGGAACAACTTCTAGTTCTGATTTTGTAATAAGTGGATTTGGTATCTTAGTATATAAGATGGTGTCTCACTCAATCCCCATGTTAATTCTGCAGTGTTGTTTTTACTAAACTTTTTAATTGGGAAACAGGGTAAGATAGATATATTTCAAGCTATTACAATGTTCTTGGCAAGTCTGGCTCTGAACTTAACTCAAAGGTTAGCTTCAAATGGATGGTTTTCCCTACAGTGATTAGCTTCAGAGAAGGATTAGCATCCTTCAGATGACACACATCTGGTTTGCTAAATGTCAACTACTGTTATACAGCATGTTGAAAATGGGAATATCATTCTGAAGAGATGCACAAAGGCAATCTTTGTTAATTCTTAGAATCTGCAAAGCAAACCTGTCACTATTTGAAAAATAGAAAAAAATACCTACAAAATTCTCATTGTGGTAATCTGTTTGCCTGTTTATACACTTAAATTAGCCTAAATGGTGCATTACATTGCCAAAAATTTTGAATCAAGGTACCTAAAATCCATTAACTTAAAGGATGCATAAAAAACCTGGAATGTTTGGTTTAACAAAGCAGGAAAGAACAGTTGAAATGTCTATTGAGATGAAGACTAACGTAAGAAATAGCAATACAAAAGCGGAAATGGAAGTGCAACTGTAAGCACATACCGGTGGAGTAAGAATATCACAAAGCCACCAGTTATATAGAAATAACACTAAAGAAAACCACACTCCTTCAGAAATGAAAGGAGAAAGTCCCAGCTTTATGAAAAATAAGGTGAAAATAAGGTTTTTCAACTGGGGATTATGAGAAGTGAAATCCAAACACATCTGGAAAACACCAGCTTGAGGGAAATCTGATCCGAATTATGAAATGGGCATCCTCCTAAAATCATATTAAACATTTCTGGTACTATAAATTGCAGTGTTGGAAGAAGAGATTCACCACTTGCATAGAGTGCATATTTGGATGGGAAAACATGCTATCATTTGTAGGCAGATACTACCGTTTCAGACTGTACAAACAAAACAATAGCTTGTAAATGGTTCAAACATCAAAAAGAGGAGGGGCATCCAAAACGTAATACAATAAAAGTAACTCAGAGAATGTATACAGGACTCATGTGCCCCTGAACAAATCAGGATTTTTTTCATTGTCGTAGGTCAGAAAAATGCTTATAGAAGGATTACTTCAGGTAAACCATTCTTTTAGTATGTTGCTTTTTCCCCTGCTTGAAAACTAACAGTGAACACTGAAAGGAAGGAAACGAACAAGAGCCCCACCCTCACCTAAAATAACAGCATGAAAAGCTACAAATAAAACATTTCTGATGAAGTTGACTCCCAATTTCATAACTGAAGTAGAAAAACTCCCCCCCCCTTTTTTTAAAAAGAGAAACTATCTCCTGGACAATATGTGAAAAAAAAAACACCTTCCAAATCAATATTTCTACATAGCAGTGCAAGAAAGTAGTAACAGGAAATATTTGATTGCAATTTTTGCATTTAAATATGGTTCACCCAGATGAGTCGAAGGAGCTAGTTTATTTTTCACAGGGACACCTTACATGTTGAAAGATGTTAGGAAATGAATGAAACAAACACCCAACTTTGATGTGAGTGGCTCAGTAGATTATATACCACTGGGATCTACATAACCTCTGGTAACATTCGGCAACAAAGATATGCAAATATTCAGAAAGTCCAAAGGGGAACTAGGCTTTTTAAACCAGAGGTATAATTGCTGACGTGGTTAAGCAAATTCTTTCCTTTAACATATTGGCCGGATTGCTGTCAAAATCATAGCAGTATTTTGGATGTATATCCTAAAAGATATTTGATATTGAAGTGTGGTATGTCATTAGAGGAGAATTGTTGTGACAATGTTGTTCTAGTCATTATCATATTTGTTGGGTTTAAATTGGAAATCTGATTTACAGTGGTGCTTAAAAGTTTGCAAATTCTTGAATTTTCAGTATTTCTGCATAAATATGACTCAAAATGTGACCTGTTCTCTACACATCCCAAAACTAAAGAGAATCCAATTAAACAAATGAGTCAAAAATTATACTTGTTCATTTATTTATTGAGGTAAAATATCCAAAGCTAACCGATATTTATGCAGAGAGATTAAATGTTCACATTTTAGCCACCATTCCAAACAGTGAATCTATTTTTCATTTCTAAAGGCATTAATGACTATGGAAGTCACCAGAAATTTCTGGGTGGGGTATGACACGTACTCAGAATCTGTGATGAAAATTTCATTGAAGTGTTAATTTTTTTTGTAGGGCAACCCCAAATTAGACCTGATTGTTAATGAAGTACTCATACAACTGGTCGTAGATTGCCCTTTAACTCAACAGACTGAATTGGGGGAGTGTCACTAAACTAAAAGAATGCTCATAACTCGATGACTACCTATATTATAAAAGTAATATCACTAAAGGATTTTTATGTTCATTTCTACAAATTATCATCAGTAATTTCAACAATTTTCGTCTGACTTGGAATACTTGGAAGATTCTAAATATATTTTAGTGCACGTGGCAATCTTTAACTCTATTTAAATGTCTCTGTTGGGATGGGCAATGGATTCATGGGTCATTAACCAAAGAACGTTTGAGGTTATTTACCCAGGTATGGAAAGCAATCGGAATAGAGGATGAGACCAAATAAAATTATTCTATTTCCCCTTATCGAACGCTGAGCAAAGTCTAAAGGACAATTGCATATGAGGCTATTTAAATACACTTATAAATCTGATGCAGAGGAGCAAGGAGATGGCATTGAAGGGGATACATGTCAATCACTGGTAAAACATGGGCTTAGCCTAGAACCAGGAAGAGATGAGAAAAACTGAAGGCTGCCCTGCCTTGACTCTCTTTGGCAGAAGGGGAAACAATGGTATATTTTCAAGAGTCTATTGTTATAAGCTATAAATTGATTGAGTTCTAGCATTTCTTGTGATATCTGTTTCCTGATCTGGTCTACTTTGAAGAGTTAACACCTGAGATACAACCAAATTCATCTGGGATTCAAATTGGGGCTCGATGGCTCAACCGTTAAAGATGCTAAGTTTGTCGGCTGGAAAGCTGACAGCCTGGGTTCAAGACCCGAGTGCAGCACAACAGGTGAGCTCCTATTACTTGCCTCAGGTCCTGCCCACCTAGCAGTTTGAAAGCATTCAAATAGGAATGGATAGATAGATGCCACTTTGGTGGGAAGGTAACAGTGTTATGTGCACCTCCACATATAGTCATGCTGGCCACAACTACAGAAATGTCTTCTGACAACGCTGGCTCCC